AAAACTGGAGGAATATCCAGAGTAGTAATGCAAAGGGATATACTCCCCCCTCACACATCTTCCACTATTCTTTTCTAGTAGCGTAAAGTTTCATGCTCAACAGAGAGGCAATATGTGTCTCTATATATTTTGCATTCTGCCAAACTCTAAAAATACCTGAAAGGGTGCTACAATATGTAACTTCATCTTTAACATTTCCATGACTTTGAATCTTTCCCACCATGTCTAGACACTCATAATATCCTACTAAGGAAATCAAGTTAATGCATCAGTGTGAAATGCTGCATTACTAAACTGATACGTTTAAGCAACCTTTAAACTTTTATTCACCTGGTAAAGGCAGGTACCTCTTTTTTTTTTTTTTTTTTTTTTTTTTTGAGACAAAGTTTCTCTGTGTAACAGCCCTAGCCATCCTGGAATTTGCTTTGTAGACCTAGCTGGCCTTGAACTTACAGAGTTCTGTCTGCCTCTGCCTCCTGAGTGCTGGGATTAAAGGTGTGCACCACCACTGCACAGCTAAGGTAGGTACATCTTAAGATGGCTTGTGCTGCTGTACAACCCATCTACTTTATCATAGCTGCCACTTAGGCACGGAGATCATGGCCTTAATTTGTAGAAGAATCAGATTGTTTGGCACCATATTTGTTGACTAAAGATAAATAATTGTTTAAAAATTTAATAAAGTGAAGCTGGGCAGTGGTGGTGCACGTCTTTAATCCCAGCACTTGGGAGGCAGAGGCAGGAGGATCTCTGTGAGTTCGAGGCCAGCCTGGGCTACAGAGTGAGTTCCAGGAAAGGCACAAAGCTACACAAAGAAACCCTGTCTCAACCCCTGCCCCAAAAATAAAAAATCCAATGAAGAGGCTGAGTTCAGATCTGTTTTGTCTCTACAGCCTTTATTAGTGGAATTCCAAATTACTTTATTATCTCTCAGATTTTGATGATGAGTTCAGATATATTCTTTGGTATCCATTTATACAAAAATCACCTTAAAACAAAATTATGTTTTACTTCAGAAACAAACATTCTTTAGTACAAAATATTTTTTAGTACAGAAAACAATGTTATAGGCACAAAAGGGAAGCTTTTGAAACATGTTAGAGAACTATATACCAAAGGTACATGAATAAAGATTACGTGTGTCATGTTGCCTTTAACTGGTACAAAAGATGAGAAAGCAATATAAATAAAGAAAAACCTGTACTTCTCCTTTTTCAAAGGAGGATCAAGTATTGTATCCCCACAAACCTTCAAACATATTCAGCAGCACTAATGTATGCTATAGTGTCTCCCAAGTACACTAGCCTGTACAGAAGTGAAATTCCTATAGCCACTGGCTGACAACTTGTACATACAAATCTTTGAGCTAAAATGTTAATTAATTTTTCTTTTTTTCTGAACAGCTAAAAACTGAAGCACAAAGTTCACTTTTCGTAATATCACCTAAGTCATTGAACATCTGGAATGGTCTTTAGAACAATGTGTGCTTGTGTTTACAAAGCTCTATCAACACCCACTTGAGGATGAATGTGCCAGGTGATAAAGTAGATCTGCTTAAATAAGACAGTACTGACTGAGAAATAAACCAAGAGAACAAACAAAACCAGCCCGTAAGGGGTAAAATCTGGGTGCTTGAGTTCCGCGTTACTGTACGCTAAGGCATAATGGAAACTACGTGTCATCCATCCATGCCCTGCTCCTTCTCAGCAGCCTCACTTGTACCTGATGCTCCATAGAGATGTTGTTACATTTTCTTTCTGTCAAAACATGATGTACACCAATGTAGTTGTTGGCTCAAAGTGTTATTTTCTTGATTGCAAAATGAAGAATTGATGTGCTTTATGGGAGGCACCTTTCAAAGCAAATTTGCCCAAACAGGCTGTGATTAGATTAACACAAGCATTTGACACATACAACTTTTGAAAGTGTGGGAATAAAACTCATCTTAAAGTACTTTTTAAAATTGCCTATTCCTCTGATGAAATGCATGAGATCCATCTATTCCTTCATGATCCAACGAAGCCACATCTACTTCATAATCACAGGTTAAAATTAGTCTTCAAATGACCAAACGGCTCCTTAGTTTTTGATCCGGCTTTCAAACACAACTTCACAACAGTTGGGACTAGCCAAACACATACATCAGTGTACTTTCCAGAGAGTGACGTAGTCTATCTCAGGAAGGTCAGAACACACACAGGCAAGCATCAGCCCTGTTGTTGACAACAGATTCTCACTGTGTTTATTAACTCTTCAGGTAGATTATGCTTGTTATTGAACTAGAAACCAAATAAACTCTCCACATTTCTTAATGACTCTCACTACCACCATCTTACCAATGACTACGGAAAGGAGAAAGAGAGAAGGGCATGTCCCCACCTCTGACTCTGCTATCTCAAATCTGCATCTGCTCCCTTTGTATTTTTGGAGACGCTCCTTTCTGAACTAATTATGATACCTTTACAATAGGGAGTTTAGATTTAATTACCAAACTTTTAAAACACGGCATTATATAGGTCAAGTGAGGACGCACCTTTCTCCCGAAACAAAGAGATTCAGGGTAATAGGATTTTAGATTTCATAGGAGAAACAGCAAAATATGTTTTGAGACTGTCATTTACTGTAACACAAATCAATATTAAACGCTTTATGCAGGAAGCACACTTTCAGAAAATGGGCCCTAAAGCTTCCTGGGATCCAGCCCTAATTACTCCAGCAAGCTCTCGACGTTTGTCTCTCTCTTCAATTATTTACAGGGCAAAAGAAGCCAAATGGCATTGCATTAGCTATATTAAATGCTATGTACTTGGTTTCTGACTTACTAATGGTACATAAAAATTACTAAGGTAAATGTTGCATAGAAACATGGCTTTTTTTTCCTTCTTCACCTGAATGTGTGTATTTATTATTCATGGAGTTAAGTGTTGAATAGGCTGTCCTTCAGGCACCCAAATGCTGCATAATTTAAATAAGTGCATTAAATATATAACACATCTAAAAGGTAGCACATTGATTACGTTACAAAATTTCTTCAAACAGCTTCAGTGTAGTGCATGACACACACACACACACACACACACACACACACACACACACACACACACACTCACACACTCACACACCAAGCAAGCATCTCCCTTAAGTTCTTAAAACAATGACATGACAACCACATGGAGATGAACAGTGGTGATCAGTTGCTAGTACCTTATTATCCCTGGTTATCTAAGGTAAGAGAGAATTAGGAGAGAGCAGCAGAGAGGCCTGTGAGTGCTGGGAAATGTCCGGCCTCTGCTGACAAGTCCTCTTTACATGGACAAACACTAAGGTATGTTGTAGGAACAGGACAACGTGGACCACACATACTGAAAGGAATGAAAGCTTTCAAGGGTGAATCATAGCTTCTCAGTACCAGGTCAGAAATGCCCATCTGCCTGCAAGCACTCCCCTAACAAAAGTTCAAACACGGCATCCATACCTGATTCTTTTGTGATCTAGAAGGGCACGCTAGGTGTTAACTGCCAAAGAAGGCTGGTGTATCCACCAGCACCTTCTGCCTTCCCTAATTGTGGCAGATGTTTCCATGGCGGTAAAATGCACTTTTCGTGAACCCAGATAATTTTAAAAATTAGTTTAGAAGGCATTGAACTGTTGTTGTAAAATTAGCATAGGCCCATCAACAAAGTACCCGGGGGTCCCTGGAAAGCTGGCCATAATCTGTATGGCTACATGTCATCAGCTGTCCTTACCCAAGAGTGTGCCGAGGCCACTTTTGAGCAGAACTGGAAATCACTCTGTGGTAAACATAGAAGGTAGTTTAAAAACAAAAACAACAACAACAAAAAGGGAAAAGTAAATACAAAGTCACTTCTTTCTACGCATTGAAATCTGTCCATTGTCCCTCCTACGTAAAAAGCTACAGAAAAAGATTAAAAGGGACATCAATGAATGCGGAGTGAACTTTGGCCACTTTTCTACCCAAAACACCAGCGTAAAAGTGGAAATCAGTAACCAGGTGAAGTGCCACACCGCACAAAGATCAGAGGCGAGGGGCGGGCGCGCAGGGCCCGAGGCGGGGAGCAGACGGTCCCGGCCCCCTCCGGCCACATTTGTCGCGCGCGCGCGGGAGCTGGAGGGGAGTCGTGCGGGGCGGGGCAGGGGGGCCCCCCCGCGCGCCACTCCGGGGGACCCCAGAGTTACCGCCCGCAGGGCGAGGCCCTGGAGAGGTCGGAAAGCCGTGCCACCAGCAGGTCCTGCCGCGGGGCCCCAAGCGTCGTCGGCCGGCCGCCAGCCCTAGCTGGACGAGGGGCGCCGCGAGGCCGAGAGACCCTCCCCTCCTCGCTGGCCAGGAAGGGGCCGGCGGTCCTTTCCTGTCTAGTCGCTCCCCCCCCGCGACTCTGTAACCCGATCGCCGCGATCGGCTCCCCGGGAAGCCGCCGCCCCGCGTGCAGCCCGGCTCTACCCAAGCCAAGCGCTATAGTTAGCAACCCCAGCAATTGCGCCCGGGGGCGGCTAGGTCGCTTCGCGCCCCTCCCCAGCCCGGCCCGGCGCGCCCCTCCGCGGTCCCCTCCTCCGGCGACCCTTCCTCGCGCCTCCTTACCTTGGCTTGCAGATACTGGGGGTAATAGTAGGTGGCGTACTGAGGGTACATCTGCTGTTTCCACACTTTGCCCATGAAGCTGGAAGGAAGCCTGCTGTGCAGGGTCGCCGACACTTTGGGGTTTCCAAGTCCCAATCTCTCCTGCCTCTCCCTTTCCGGAGGCGGCGGCGGCGGCTGCCTCGGCGGCTGCTGCTGCCGCTGCTCCACCTCCCAACCGGGACCAGACGACGTCCTCCTCCTCCACCTCCTCCTCCACCTCCTTCTGCTCTTCCTCCTCCTCCTTCTCCTCCTCCTCCTTCCAGGCAGACAGAAAGACACTGCAGAGCGCAGAGGACACCCCGGACAGGGCGCTCCCAAGGAGTTTCCTCTGGGAGCCCGACTGTGCCCGAGCTGCCAAGGGCTGGCGCGCTGGCCGCGCTGCGCTCCGGGAGCAGGCTGAGCCGAGCTAGGAGTGATCAATACAAGTGGAAAGTACGGCGGCGGCGGCGGCTGCGCTCGGTGCCAGGCGGCATCTGGGGTGGGTGCGCCCGACAGCGAGAGGGGAGAGGGGCTAGCTGCCGGGGCGGCGGGGGAAGGGCGGTCGGGGGCGGGGCTTGGGCGCCGCCGAGCCCGGGACCCGCTGGAGGTGAGGGCTGACTTTCCACCACTCCTCACCTCCCAGGCTCCCAAAGAAGGCGCACAGAATCCTTGGGAGCGGCGATCGCTTTGTGTCGGGGGTGGGAGTCGGTTTGGTGGACCCTGCTTAAGAACTGCCTAGAAGGCACCTCTAGCTTTCTGAGTTTTTAATTTTCGTAAGAAAGAAGGGAGGTAAGGGGGAGGAAGGGAGGAAATCACATTAATCTCTCACTTCCCCCAAAGCCCTGGACAGGTTATTTTTTTCCCCCCACAAAGGAAAATGCTTTAATGCCCAACCACAAAACTGGGGCCGGAACACCTGGGTTCTGTTCCACCCCCACACCAGGTCACAGCACTAATTTTCTAAGTGACCTTGGGAAGGTTAGTGTCCTTCGGTTTGGTTTTTCCAGATGTGAAATCATGCTCTTTGCGTCGAGAAGACCACACACACACACACACACACACACACACACACACACACACACACACACGCCAAACACAATCGCACAACAAACTGGCAGGTCCTTCTAAGGGGAAGATGCCGAAAAGAGGCAGAATGTTATTAGAGGACACAATATAGACATCAGCTTTCTCCCTGCCTTTTCTAATGCTGCCAGACAGTCTGTCAACTCCCACTCAGGAGCAAGGAAACTCCCTGAGTTTGGAATATTTTAAGGCCATTTTGAAAGTCACACTGGCATATTGTTGCAGTGTGCTTCGGTGACACATAAAATCAATCTCTCTTTCTGCTTCTCTCCATCTCCTAAGTGTCTCAGCTCCAGACAGCCCCAGACGAGCAGCGGTTTAGTTCACTACATAACTGGATAGAATTTAATGGAGTTAATTGGTCCCTGAAGTTGCCTGCAGAAGACTTTTATATTCTAGCTCAAAAAGAGACAATACGAAATGTACAACACGATGGGGAAGAGGATGTCCCTAAGTTGGTGTCCTTGCGCAGCTGATAAAAGGCAAAGAGAAAAACATTTATTGAACAGAACTCGATTGCTTTGTTTTGTCTTTTTTTTTTTTTTTTTTTTTGAGTCACTTCTCAGCACAAGGTAAATCCAGCAGAACAGGGATGCATGATTTTCTTCAATAGTCAGATGTTTATAAGATTACTTTTAAGACAGGCTTCAAAATTGATAAAACAGTGAGCCAGAACCTTTATCTTTATATGATTTAGACTTAGGCAAGTTTCTAGGCTATACATTTTTTGACAAAAATAAAATAGGTGCAGCCGTGTGAACACAATTCTGACATGTCAGGAGGCAGCTCATGTAAGCCTTCATCCATAGGAAGTCTCACAAGGAGATTCGATTTACTTAGTTTCTGTCACACGCTGGGCACTGTGGAGTGAATGCCAACCTGCAGGTTGAAGTGGTGTACTGTCTAACTAGGTGAACTAAAAACGTTCCTCATAGTGTTTCAGTATGAAAACTCTCTGTTTTTTCAGTTAAAAATTCACTGACCTGATGTGTTGGGGGCCCAGAGAAGTCGACTAGGAATAATGGTTTGTGGGGGGGGGGGGGGTGACTGGAGAGAAGTAAGTTGAGAAAGAACTCAGTAGGTCTTGGTTTGAAAGACACAGGAAATTGCCAAAGTTAGACTGTTCTACTTACTGTTTTTTTTTTCCTGCTGGATGATGAAAATCCACTCCATTTTCAAGAGACCAAAAGCATACCCTGACTTATATAGATGTTTGATTTATGACTGAGCCAGTATTACAGGGTAGTGGGCAAAGAATGAACTTTTCAATAAATGATTCTGGGTCAATTGGCTATCCACATGGAAAACAGGAAATCAAAGTCCTGTCCCACAGTTATCAACGGTAGGGAGACTCCAGCTGCATTGAAGATTACTTGTGAAAACCAAAATCATAAAGCTGTTAGGAGACAATACAGAGAGACAGCTACTGGGTCCTGATGTGGGGAAAGATTCCTAAGGGGAAGGAGAGTGAAAGATTATTCAGATCCTTGGTTTGAAGAATGAGCAAGAAAATGAGCCACAAAATAATTAGTTTTACTAGTAACTACAAAAGGTTAATATGCAGAATATATAGAGAGCTACTCAGGATCAATATGAAAAAGAGAAAGAACTTATTAGAATAAAAGCTTTTTTTAAAAAAGAATATATATTCACAAAGGAAGAACAACAAATATTCAACCAACGTATGAAAAGATACTAACATTCAATTAGTAATATGGTAATTCCAATGAGGTATCATTTTATTTTTTTTGCCAGACTGGCAAAAAAAAAAAAACTATGAAAATAATAATTGGTGGTGAAGGAGGGAGAAGGGAAATTCTCAAGAGCATGTGTTATTGGAAGAAACGTAAGTTGCATCAATGCAGAGCATAGTTGGCCATTATCCAACATTATTTGCATGGATCCTACAATGCAGTTGCAGGTGCATGCACATTATAGAGTCTTCTATAGGTATACCAGGAGATGTGCACAGGAATATCTATGCAACACTGAAAATAACTCGAATGTCCACTGAGCATACAATGGTTAAAAAGTCCTTGGTATATAGGCACAAGGGGACACTACAACAGAAAAAATAAGTAACCACAATTAAAGCATCAGTTCACATCACTTCAAGTTCAATGCTGTGCAAAGAAGCAAGAAAGTGGTTGGGGAGTTGGCTTAGTGGTTGAGAGTACACATTGCTCCTTCAGAGGACTCAAATTCGGTTCCCAGAATCCAAGTTCTGGCTCCCAAGCACCTGTAACTCTAACTCCAAGAGATGCGCTGCTAGCTCCAAGAGATGCATTGTTAACTCCAAGAGATGCATTGCTAACTCCAAGAGATGCAGTGCTAACTCCAAGAGATGCAGTGCCCTCTTCTGGTCTCCACAGACCCTGTACTTGTGTGTGCACGCACATACACACACTTATTTTTTAAATCTATTTTAAAAGAAGCAGCAAGTCAACAATATATAAGACGTGATTCCATTTTTATGAGTTTCAAAAGCAAAACAAAAAACAGTATGTAAGAATAAGCACATGAATAATTTTTAAAGCATAAATAAAAACATAGGTAATATTAACATAGAATTCAGAATAATGATTCTCTCCACTACAGCAGAAGGTTGGGAGTACTCAGGAAGGGACCAAAGATGACCCTGGACTGTAGATGTATAGAAATATATTTCAATATATTCTCTTTGAGTGTTCCATAGACCTTTTTTGTATGTGTGTGTATGTGTGTGTGTGTATACACACATACACATATATGTGTGTACATATGTATATATGCCACCTCTCACCCTAAGACATTTCTAAATCAAAAATCAGCTAAATTTGATTGCTTCCAAATAAATGCAAAAGAACAGACATGAGAATAATGACCTCTTCCTAATACCCACTTTCAACTTATATTTTTCTGTCAGTTTTGCGTGCCTGCAGGTTTACACACACACACACACACACACACACACACACACACACACACACACACACACACCACTTTTATTTTTCCTAGAGTAATTAAAAGGATATCTCTAACACTAGCAGTTAACAGGTAATTTTAAAAATCACCCATTAACAAATAAGAATATTCTCTAATTTTATCACATCTAATAAATTTAACAATAATTTGTTAACATCAGTTAATGCCCAATGATTGTTCATTTTTTTTTCATTGTCAAAAATCTGCTTTTGTAGTTCATTTATTTAAGTCTCAGTGAAATGATGTTATATATTATATGCTTTTATATGTTCCTGAGCATCTTAACATCTAAAACCTCACCCCCATTCATTTTTAAGTTGATGGTTATTTGTTGAAGGATTTGGAACATTTGACCTATAGAATTTCCCACCTGGCTGACTGCAACATCACAGCAGTATTAAAATGATGGTAAAGCTCTGAAAATTTGACTAGAGGCAGATTCACTTTGGGGGAACTAACCAGACATAGGGTGTGTGCCCTGAGTGACAACCAAAGACACGATGTCTGTTTTGTTCTCAGTGATGGTATTAACGTTTATTACAAGTGTGGTTTTTATTGGCTTGACTCATGCACTATAAAGATTGCCATCAACCATTCGTAGGCTAGTTTTAATATTCAGAAGTTAACTAAACCCATTATTTCAATAAGAGTTACAAACTTGGGGTTTTCTAATTTTAACATGCTATCTGTACTTATTTAGAAAGTGTCTATGGAGGAGTTCTTTCTCCAACTCTTTGGTTAACTTAAATAATTTTTCCTTCATTTGACAAGTTCAGAAAAGATTTGGTTTTCTTTCCATAGGAAACTCTAAAGGTCATCATTTTGAACATCTTGATTTTATGGACTTTAGCCAATTTGGGTTGCTTTATCCTTGACCATCATCATTTCTGTAGATCTTCCAACTGTCCCGTCATTGATCAATGGGAGCCCTTTGAATTAGCTCCTGGTCACATTTATTAGACCCAAATAGTCCTTTATAGTTGTTATTGTTGTTGTTTTTTCTTTTCTTTTTAGCATACTAAGGTTGTTCCCAGTTTTTATATCATTTGTAAAGAAAATCATGCCTTGCTTCAAAATTTTTAAGTAGTCATTTGTGAAGAAAATCATGCATTGCTTTAAATTCTTTTAATTATGTTGCTTTTTAAAAATTAACTTACAATAATAACAAAGTCTTTAAAATATATTCTATGTGCTTACCATATTTGGAGCAAAGAGCTCATGAAAGCTTCCAGATGAAATTTGGTGTCTAGATGACTTCTGGAAGGAACTAAATAAACCACTGAGTACCTTCCCTGAGGGTTTGTGTTTACACCTTAGTCAATCTTGAAGAAGCATTTTCTCTGAGCAAGACATTGGGGAGACTGTGGAATTGGTATGTGCTTCATGAAACTTAGGGTCAAGGATAGCGACGGATGAGATAATGGCATAGCTCAGAGAATAGGGAGGAGACTG